GTGAGGCACTGAGGGACTGATTTGTCTCAGATTTATCAGGGAGCCTGGAGCAGTTTGGGGACCTGAAGCCAGGAAGCAGAAACTGCACAGGGTTCTTCTTCCTCCCACTGACCACTTCAGCTGGTTTACAGCTGCTTTGTGTTCCTGGAGTGGTAAGAAGCTGTGATAAGGTACCCTGGTGTATCTGTCCCTCTCGTCTGAATATTGGTTAGTCACTGTAGGTTTACCTACAACAGCAGCCAACAGGACTGTGCTAAGTAATACGTCAGTGAAGGCTCTAGAATTGCCATTTAGCAAAATGAATGGATAACATCCAAATTCTGTGGCTTTCTGTACAGGAAAGAATGTAAATTTGTACTGTATGTTAATAACATAGAGATAAATAAAATAAAAATTAACATTTAAATAAAGACTTCATATTTAACCCAGAGAAAGCATATGCTGCATTGGTGGTAGTCTTTGAGTAAGTAACAGCTCCTGGTGCAAAGAAGGCAGGTGCTGCCTTGGTCAGAAACACTTCTCACACACCTGAAAAACCTAATACTGATATGCACAATCCCCTGCCCTTGCTCAGGACAAAGTCTGGAAGTCCTGTCACTCAGGTATGTGCCCTGCCCCCAGCTGTCCCTGCCTACTGGCAACTGCCATCCAGCAGCACATCATTTGGACAATCGTTGGTGGCACCTGAGTTCTGCCAGGTGCAGGAACTGCTTTGACATGGGGGTCAAGATGGGGGTCAAGCATGGGACAGTGTGGCCTGCCCTTCACATAGTTCACCTCCAGGCACTGTGATATGCCCGCAGTGCCTTTGTGGCTAAGGTAACATGGAAAAAATGTGAGCTCCTGGTATCTGCAAGGGAGGCTGGCACCATCAGAGGAAAGTCAGGTACTTGTTCTGCCAGAAACAAAGAGCACAGGGGAGAAGCACAGTGCTGCTAGCATCGGAAAGTAGTTGTGGCCAACTTTGCCAGCACCAGAAATCAAGAAGCAGTGATTGCAGCTGTAGGCTTCCAGATGCTGTTGTTTTCTGCATTGCCCTTTAGTAGATGACAGTAAAGAGAGAGAGCAGTAGAGAGCTCTGACTTCAGTTTAATTAATTTTGTCAGTCTCCTTTCGCAAGATACTCTGAGGTGTGTTGTATGAATGTAGGTGCTGTTATGGCTGTGTGGCAGCAGGGGCAAAATACCTCAGGGTTTCAACCTGTGCCTGAGCTGTCTGGATCTGGGATTTCTGCATCAAAGGCTGGAGTGCTGAGCTGCAGGAAGGAGGGTTTCCATCTGCTCCTTGTGGCCGGGTCAGCAGAAAAACTGGCCATCACTCAAGAGAGCCCGGGACAGGCTATGTCCAGTCCAGGCAAGCAAGGAGTTATTTGAACTTTTCAGGGAAAAGCCACCTCTCGTATCTCCCGGTATAAGAACTTTCCCCTTTGTATATTACTACCACTTCATGAGGTAGAAAAAAGAGCAGCATAGTACATTTACACACGCTGTGTTAACATACTAAGCATAGAGATTGGTGTGGTTTACTTTCTCACATTTCAATACAAGTGTCAGAAGGAGCAGGAGGCAGAATTACCCTGGCTCCCATGTCCTGCAGCCCGATGGAGTGTGTGTACAGTATATAGTAAGTGACCTCCGATTCCTTTTAGGTTAGGATTTTAAACAAGAAGATCGATTTTAGCGATATTCAGTCCCGGTGTGGTTCCAGAGATAACATCAAACATTCTGCAGGGGGAGGAAATGTAAGTAGTATGGACACCCCGTGAACAGGCGTCTCCACTGTGGTGACCCACCTTGCACAGCCAGACCCCTCTGTCTCCTTTCCTCTGAGCACCACTGTCCTTCTTGCTACTCTTTCACATGTGAGTCTGGTCTGGTAGTCGTGTGAGCCCCGTGTATGCAGTGGTGGCCTCCTGATCTTTCTCCACAAAGCACAACACATTTCCAGGACTTGGCCAGGAAAAGGAAATGAGAAAAGAAGGGTTATCTCTAAACTCCCAAGTGTGCAGACAGTAGAAGTCCAATGTGAGCTGAAATTGTTCAGTGCCTTTCAAGGGAGCGGCCCACGGAAGTAATTTCCAGAAAGAGACTGCAGCTCACAGTGAGAGTCCAGCCTCACAGTTGAGCATCTTCCAGTGCCTCAGTCCTTCCTCAGCTAACGTTTCAGTTATGTGCCTTCATCAGAGAGGAAGAAGCAAAATAAAACATAAGGACAAAAGAAAGCTCAGAGAGAGGGTGTGATCAGCCAGCATGCTGAGTGCTAACACTAATGCCACAACATTATTCTAGTATAACAAACTGAGGTTGCTCAGGGTTTGACCAGACACCCGTTATTTCTAGCAGTCATGCTGGAATATCTTAAGGTGGCTCTGATCCCTCTGATGGAAGTGATCTCCCCTCAGATGGAAGAGAAGATGGTGTGGCCATGTGTAATACAAACAGATTCAGTGCAGCCACCAGTGCTGGCCAAAGTCATTGCTGGTGATGTGAGCAAACCAGTGGCATTGCAGTCACCCTGGAGCTCCTGTCTGGCCTGGAGGGGCTGCGCCTTCTTAAGAGCTGCTAACACAGTCACTGCGATGGTGGGCTGCATCTTGGAGTTGTTTGGGAGTGCAGCAAGGCAGGAATGTTGCTCTGTGGCTGTTCCCGAGCTGCACTCAGCACAGCCATGGCAACATGGGTGCAGAGCAGCAGGAGGAGGGGTGTGTGTACTGCTGCCTGGCTGAGCAGAGCGGTGCCACTGTTATCCAGTGAGCAGCACCCAGCCAGCTGGCTGAACACCCGCCAGCTCAGGTACAGCTGCAGGAGTCACATTTGTAGATTCATCAGAGTGCCCATAGTGGATTGAGCTGAAATGCATACCATATTTAGATGTGGAAAAATAGGAGACAGATGGTAGAGGAAGAAAAAGTCACTGAAAAATTCCTGGTTGCCAGGGTGCACATTCAAGAGCAGAAGCAAACGGGATGGGTCCTGCTGCATGCAGGGCTTCAGAGCATCCACCCCAAGAGGAGGCTCAGAAATATTTTAGAAAGAACTCACAAGCTGATCTGCTTTGTCCTCCTCTTCATTTTGCTAACAGTAAAGCTTAACCAAGCTCTGTCATTTCCCTAGGTGGGAAGGAAACTTACTGTATTAATCCAGGTGTTTCCTCCTTTGTGGCATGGTCTGTTTTCTACTAACCATCTCTCCTTTTCCAGTGGTTTGTAGGGGCTTGGGCTCTTCCTCTGTAGGGCTTGGCTTTTTATTTGTTTTCTTTTTATTCCTGTAATGTGTGTGTGCTTTTGACAGGTACAAATCGTAACCAAGAAGATCGACTTGAGTCATGTAACTTCCAAGTGTGGCTCGCTCAAGAATATCCACCACAAACCAGGTACTGTGGGAATGTTTGGGGTGTAGGACAAAGCAAAAACTTAATCCTGCTATGTGAAGGAGAAATAATGGATGATAGCATTCTCTTTTATAGTCCAAGAGAAAGAAAAGACACTTTGGTAATAAAAATAATATTCTTAACTCAACTAATTATATAAAGACATAAAGGTGTGGGACCACCTAGTTTAGAGAGGAGATTAAAAAAAAATGCAGAAGGATGCTGCTGTGGCATAATGTCAGACTGAAGTCAGCAAAATACTTAAGCATGTGCTTAAATTCCATGAAAATCAGTAGGGCTGCAGCACATACTTACAGTTTGAATATGTGTTGAAGAGTTTATATTTTACTGAACATGCAGTGTGGTATTCTGTGCTTCTCCAAAAACATTAGATCTCAACTAAAAGGGAAGTAATGTGAGTGCACCTGTGTGTATCAGGTCAGACTTTCTTCTGAGCCCTTCCAGCGTCTTAATCTGTATTTCCTTTTTCTGTGTAGGAGGTGGGCGTGTGAAAATTGAGAGCGTGAAACTGGATTTCAAAGAAAAAGCTCAGGCTAAAGTTGGTTCACTGGAAAATGCCCACCATGTACCTGGTGGTGGTAATGTCAAGGTAAGGGGACAGCTGTCAGACAAAAGGCTACCACTGTGCCCCTGGCCCAGTGAAATTATTAGAGCTGTGAATTCAGAGATGGCTCTGAATTGAGTAGGAAACATCTGTTTGTTCTCCTTCAAGCACATTCACATGCCATTTGCTCCCTTTGGAATCTGGAATGACCAATCTCAGATCCACATCTATGCTGAGAGTGAATCTTAAAGTGAAATGTCCTGTAGTTTATGTACTAGCTTTCTTCCTAAAGATAAAACTTGTTGGGGGCTGTTGTACAGCATAAGTATGATCTAGAAAGTTTGTAGTATGGGTATACCAGAGGATCAGGACTGCCTTGTGAAAGAGGAGGAAAATATCTTGAAAGTTAAGACAAACACAAACATTTGAAAATACAGATTTTGGAAACAAAACACAATGCCCATAAAATGTCTGCTAAGTTCATACAGCTAGGAACAATGGTACTGCTCCTTAAAGCGTCCATCAGAGACATAAATAGTAAGAGAATGTGACATAGTAAGCCAGTATATATTAAACAAGATTAAAAAAATCCTCAGTTTCAATTATTCTGAGGACTTAAGAAGCTTCAATACTCGTAAGAGTTCTTAAAAGTAAACAGAATGAGAACCAAATGATTGATCTATATTGAGATAATTTGCTGAATATATAATGTGTTAAACTCTTTACTTTTCTGGAGCAGATTGACAGCCAGAAGCTAAACTTCAGAGAGCATGCTAAAGCCCGTGTGGATCACGGGGCTGAGATCATCACGCAGTCACCAGGCAGGTCCAGCGTGGCTTCGCCGCGCAGACTCAGCAACGTCTCGTCCTCTGGAAGCATCAACCTGCTTGAATCGCCCCAGCTTGCTACCCTCGCTGAAGATGTCACGGCAGCCCTCGCTAAGCAGGGCTTATGAATTTGCTCATTTTGCGTTGTATGAAGTAATAATATTTAGGCATGAGCTCTTGGCAGGAATGGGCTCAGAGCAGGTGTTACATTCATTCTTTACCACGTTTAAAACAAAGTCATATCCCAAGACTTATAGTTACCGTACAGTTAAAAAAATTAAAAAAAAAAAAACAGAAAAAAAAAAAAAGTAAATAGATGCAGAAATTGGCCTGATCTCCATTTAAAATAGGAAGACACTGGCTTTGTATGGGTATACAACTGCAGTATGTTACATTGGACAATTATTGTTGCTCTGCTCTGTCTTGCATGGAGTACCGTACTATGATAAAATGCATTTTTACCTTACATGTGCCTGAAGGCCATCCACCTCTTTCTGAAGAGCCTTGTTAATATCCCAAGTTGCTCATTTCACTGTTCTCTTGATAGATGGGGAAATAAAAAAAGAAAAGTTGCCCATTGTAAGTTATTACAGGTTAAATTAACAGTCTGCTTACCAGAAGGAAGGGCATATAGAGAAATTCAAGTTTAATTAAAAAAAAAAAAAGTGTTATTTTGTATAAATGAGTAGAACAAAAGTTGAATTAAGTTATTAACATTTTTTGGACCTGGTTAATTATGTCAGTGTATAGCTGAAAAGCCAATAAATTATTTAACTAATAACTAAAAATAGTAGTTGCAAACATTTGAACCATGCTTGGGGAAGTGACGTAAAAATGCTGTTGAAAGCAAGCACTTCCACCCCAACGGACTTGTGTCTGATTAGAAAGTTGGTTAAGCGGCTAGGTTTGTGTATGCACCACCGGTTTCACCTCCTTTCCATCTGTTTGATACAGTATTATAGATATATATATTTCTCTGTGGCCATTTGTGATATGCCCTCCTCATATACTTGAATATTCTACTTCTTTATTCACAGTATCTGTGTCTCTTGCACCCTTTGGTGTTGCAATTTTAGGTATGTAAAAGTAGATGTTAGCAGGGTTTTTTTCCCTACTCATAAGAATACATTTAAAAAAGATGAAAATTTTAGCATGAAGTTGCTTTCTGTAACAACTAAAAGCCGTGACCCTGTTTTAGTGCCAGATGCAAGTCTCTTCTGTGATGCTAGAAAAAGGATTCTTTCCCTCTTCCCTTCCCTCCCTTTCTTCACAAAGGTATGATTTTTGTGGGGTCCAGACGTTTGTAAAAGGGTCTCCAAAGATGGCTGTGTTTGGATTCTGGATTTTTAAAAAATCCACAATAGGATTTTTTTCATTCTTCCTTTTTTTTAAAAAAAACAAAACAAAACAAAACAAACCTCCTGTAGTAACAGTGAATGTTACATTTATTTATTTTTTTTTCTTTTGCTAAAGTTGAAACACAGAAAAAAGTACATAAGATGTTGTTTCCACTCCTTCAGTGATGTCGTATGTATACAATCAGGCACTCAGATAACAGTGATAAACACAACAGAGATGCCTGTAAATTATAGTACATGAAAAAATAAACTGAGCTCCCTAGACTGGGTTGCCATGGCAATTCATCAATAAATAGGGCTTATTAAAATCTAAGCAAAGTGGGATTATATTGACTATAAAAAGTATAAGAAAAAGTGTGCATAAAAGATAAAGGGCAGAGAGATATAAACAACTGATCTAACGGAGTTACCTGTGAGAACTCCAACACTATCTTACGGACACAAAGAGAACACTGAAGGTGATATGGTAGTATTACTCATCAGCGGATAATAATCTGCTGATACTATATGTACAGTAGACATTATGAAATGACCCGTTTACATTCTTGCAGATTGTTTGATCTTTTCCTTTTAAAATCTCTTAACTAAACTTTGCACTGTCAGTTGAGCTATACTTGATACATGTATTAGGTTAACATTGTGTGTTGGAAGCTTATGATCTGTTCTTTTTCCTTCTTAATTTGTATGTGTGTGCGTGTGTGTTGGGGTTTGATCTGAAAAGACTCATAGAGAAGATTTTTGTGTCTGTGGAGAAGTATTCTCATCATTAATAGCACAGGATTCCCCATCATTAAATTGAGGTAGTAAATGCAGAGTTACTAGGCAGTAAATATTCAGCGGACCGAAGGGGGATTTTGGCTGTCACAGCAGTACAAAGACAAAACAAATAAAAATTTTCCTGAAGATGAAGTCCTAACAGCCCCACACATGACATTTCAGCTCTGCAAAAAGCTTTTCACACTATAAAGTACCTAATACTCTTTGTAAGTTGGTTGTTTTATACAAAGGACAGTGAGTTTAGAAACATGCTAAGTGCATCTGGAGGATTCTGATTTCTGCCTTGTATTTGTTATACTTTTGCTTAGAGTAATCCCAATTCACATGGAAACAGTATCAAGTGAGGTGCATTGAAAGCCTCTTCCCATTTTTCCAGAAAAACAACAGATAGAAAGAAAAAACAACAAAACAGCATTTATGTCACGTTGCTCTGATCATACTATCAATTAATACAAATTAGCCTTGCAGTCGGTTTTTTTTTAATGCCTTTTGCCAGTGTGGGAGAGAGTCTATGGTACTACTGAACCTCAGCTTCTCTGAAGCTGAACACCAACTAGTGAGAACAGTGTTAACCTGTGACTCGAGTGTTTTTTTATTCTGCTTTTAAAATTGACATACTCTAGAAAATGAAGCTTAGTTAATCCACCTATGAGTCCAGAGTTAGAGTGGTGTAACACACCAAGTCATTTATTTCATGCATTTAAATGAACTTTCTTGTCTTGATTCAAGCAAAGACCTTTGTAATCGTAATCATCCTTCCATAGAAAGAATCCTAGAACGCTGTGGAGTTATAGATGAAAACAAATCAAGAGTTTTGTGCTATTAAATAAAAAAAAGAACTTACATGACTCTAGATGTTCACTGAAAGAGCTCATATTAATCTTAACTTCTCAAGAAGAGTGTTGGTTTTAAAAACAACAGTTTTGTAAATATTTAATGCCCACTAAAGAAGATAGAGCCAGCTTCCTGGAAACTGCATCCATTGTGTTTCTTTTCCACAGGCATGTTGAGCCAGCAGGTATGTTGGGTGCCCGAAACCCAACTCTGTAACAAAGCAGAGATAATGCAGACAAAAGGAATGGTGAAACCTTGTTTGGATAGCTAGAGGAGAGCCTGAAATTAATAATCCGTCAAGTTGTAGAAACAGAAGAAAAGCAACTTCTGCCCCATCTGCGGTGTTCTGTTTCTGTGTAACCACAAGCAGAAAAAAATCAAAGTTGAGCAAACCTCTGTCCAGCAACAGTAAAGGAAAAACTAATACTGATGAGGGAAATTGTGTGCCCGCGAGGGCTATGTGTATTTTCACTGTACAGCAGTAAATGGTATTATCCATTCAACGCTCTGCTAAGGTACAGTAGCAACCTCATCGTGACTGCTTACAAATCTAAGTTTGCCTATATGTACACGACCCAAAGGGAGTCGAAAGGCAGCCTGTGTGGACTACCACACATGAGCAGAAGTTTTTTCCATGCTGGACCAAATACTGTTCAAAATGCAAGTACAATTGTCCCTTCAAAGGCAAATGCCTTGAAGAGTAGATCACGTATGCTATGAAAATCGACACAGGTAGATTTCTAGCCTAGATGCGTGTCGAGTTCACTCACTAGTCAGAGTGCTAAAGCAACTCCCTCTGCAACTCCAGCAATTCCCACTGCAGGAAGGTAAATTAGTTTCACACTTCAAAAAGTCAAGCGTATAAAAGCCACTTCAACTTTAGCAAAGAGAAAAAAAGCCAACAAACATGCTGTATGCTGGGATGTCAAGGAATACAGTCTGCTGTTACAAACCTGTGTTTTTTCTGATAATTCTAGAGCCTGTTACCATAAAAGAGGCATTTCTTGAATGGCTGGTGGTAGGTAGTTCATGTTTTTCAATCTGATTTGCAATTGTATTTGTTGCTGTATAGTGATTGTTTTGCAAAATAAAATCGCTTGTCATCTAATCGCTTGTGTCTTGTTTCCAGTGTTTGTGATACAGCTCCTTCTGCATTCATGCCCTGCATGGAAAAAAAGTACCACGCACCTGCTGGCATTGCACAGTCAGACTTGCCGGAAGTCAGAGTGGATTAAGTCATACTTCTCAGATAATCCCTGGTACTTCTTGCTGAAAGAATCAGTTTTTACAGTTAGCGTCCTCTTCTGCGGGGTGGTATTTCCCTGCTTTGTGTGAATGCATCGTCCTGTCCTTCACGCGGGGGTCCCAGCCTGGAGGTGAGGTTTAACACCGCCTGGCACTGAGCAGTTGAGCCCGTGCTCAGAGGAGGCCCACGAGTGGCCCAGCTTCCCCTCGCTTGTCGCCATGTCTCTGTCAGCTCGGAGGGGTGCGGAGGCGCTGCTGATGGCTGGAGCCATCCCTTGGGCACGGAACCAGGCCCAGCGCTGGCGGGGACTTGTCACAGGTTTGTACCGTGGCTCCGCCGTTTTCTCCCGCTTGCCTGAACCGTGGGGCTGCCTGCCTGCCTGCGGGCCTCCCCTGCTGG